TTTACAGTATCTTTCCCCTGGAGTGGGGAGGGAATGGAGATTTTGCAGTATCTTTCCCCTGGAGTGGGGAGGGAATGGAGATTTTGCAGTATCTTTCCCCTGGAGTGGGGAGGGAATGGGGATTTTGCAGTATCTTTCCCCTGGAGTGGGGAGGGAATGGAGATTTTGCAGTATCCTTCCCCTGGAGTGGGGAGGGAATGGGGATTTTGCAGTATCTTTTCCCCTGGAGTGGGGAGGGAATGGAGATTTTGCAGTATCCTTCCCCTGGAGTGGGATGGGAATGGGGATTTTGCAGTATCCTTCCCCTGCTATGGCCACCAAGCCATACCCACAGAACCGGTAGTAAAAAAGCACTTTTTTCAGTGTTGTTGTAACTTCGAACTGTCACTAAATGAACTATCGTAAGCCGAGGACTACCTGTACATCCATAGAGAGTCCTGCTTTGAGATTGGACCACCCTGGGTCTTTGCACAACTTCTGTACAGCTTGCAGATTTCACAGGCACCATTTCAGTTCTAGGTTGATTTAAATTGTTTGTGTTCGCCCAGATGTTCAAAAACTCTGCACACAGTGGTGGTGAAATTGTCCAAACCGTTTTCCCGTTCACCCTCCGCCAGCCTTAAAAACTGTCTTAATGGGCTAGAAGCAGCTGTGTTATATTTTTGTACAAAAAAAAGAAAAAGAAAACCCAAATAAAATGAAACCACAAAGTACATAGTTTGTTACCCACTCACAAAATGCATTTAAATGTCTTCTTGGAATCTGATTTATCCTTCATTGCAACATTTATATCAACCTGATTGTTTTTTTAAAAAAAAATGAGGTACTGCCAGGATGACACACTATAAAATTTACCCTCAACCTGAACTTCAGCAGCCCATAAAATAAGGAAAATCAATTACACAAGACACTCTTAACAGATTTCCCACAAATCTTTTTGTTTTATTCAGTTTTATTCATATTTATTGCAATATATAAGATTACACTGGAAAGCGGGTATTTGTGGTTTTGTTTCAGTTATACGTTACATGTGTGCAAGGATTATTTTTAAGCCATTTTTGGGGGGAACATAAGTAAATATAAGAAGTAAATATACAATACCAAAAGCATGTTTTCCAACATGGTAGTTCAGCAGAGGAGAGAAGTTTCACTTTCAGTTTTAGTTTCAGATATCAACACAGCATTCAGCTTTAGTACAGAATAAGCCATGCCCAGGCTCCTTGCTGTCCTTACTCACACAGCAAATACTGTTTGTTT